ATATAATATATATTATATATTATATATATATATTTATATATATTTATATATATTTATAGTTTCCAGGATGATCGCTTTTTAACGTCTTTGAGCCGCCGGTTGAATTTTTATCTTTTTCTCTTTTTTCTCTGCACTGCATGCAAAGCAAACAGAAGAAGAGCAAATTTAAAGAGTATTTATTATCTATAGACCAGTAGTTATAACGACAATAATAATAGTAACGATAGACTACCTAATAAAGGTTTATATCTTATAAATAAACTCAGCAAACAAAAGCAATAAGTTGTCTATACACCTCGTATATCCTCTTAGTCTGAACTCTTCTTATATTTTATTTCTTTTATATTTTCTTTCGTAGACCGGTATATTTCACTGTTATTAATATTATCTCTCCCTAGTATTATTATTATTACTTGTTGCAATTTAATATTATTAATATTGAAATTTGTCTAGCATTACTTATTATATATTGTATCATTATTACTTTTTATATTATTATGCTTTTATTTTACTATTTTTTATTTTTTCTCCGCATCACTTCGTCATTGTTTGCTGCAATATAATTTTGATAGCCGACGCAGTTAACAATACCCAACCAATCTTCATTTCTCTCTCTCTCTCTCTCTCTCTCTATATATATATATATATATATATGCAGCTAGAGCAGGCGGCAACAGTGTATAGTAGTAATTAATGAATTAATTATTAATACAGTCGATTGGCTGCCTTCATCTATTAATGAAGACAGCCGATCGACTGCATGCATCTGAATCAGTCTCTGAGGATATGAGCTTCTCCGTAACAGCAAACTGACAAAAGTATATATAAATATAAATATACATATATATATATATATATATGCATGTGTACATACATATATATACATATAGATATATTTATATATACATATATGCATAGATGTATATATATATATATAATATATACATTAATATATTAGGGTTTGCTCTGTTTGTTAGTTGAATGCAAAGAAGAAAATTAGTTAAGTAGAGAAGAGATTGGCGTTGAGTTCGCTGTATTGTGATGAAACCTAAACGTCTTCTCTTCGTATAAAGAAAAAGAAATAGAAAGAAAAAGATAAAAGAAAAAATTATAAAGACAGCATCTCTCCCTCGTGAAGATACTCGGCTCGATCTCCCGCGTCCACAATCAGCAAAAGCAGAAAGAAGAGAAATAAAAGAAATAAAAGAAATAAAAGAAATAAAAGAATAAAGAAATAGAATAAAGAAAAAAGATAAAGCATAATATAGGAAAAATGAACAGAGGGGTGGATATAAAAGAATAATGAAAAATAAACACAAATAGAAAATAAAGAAAAAGAATAGAGTTAAAATGAAATAAAAGAAAAATAAACAGATAAAAGAAGAAGAAAGAGAAGAAAAGGCAGAGAGACTAAAGAAAAGAATATGAATAGAGACATGCAAATATCAGTATTAATATTAATATTAGTTTATTAGTATATTAGTATTAGTAATAAAGCTTTGTAATACTAATGCTATTAACAACAGCAAAAGCAATAAACGAAGAAGAATTAACAGAAAATAAATAAAATAAAGAAAGCAAGAAAAAAACAAAAGCGGGTCTGACCGATGCACACAGACATTTCCTTTTATAGAATAATAATATTTTATAATAATTATTAAACATATATATAATATATATTCTATATTATTTATATTATATATTATATATTATATATATTATATATATGTTTAATATTAAAGCGCTGCAAACTCTCTCACAGCCAAACAACCCCGTCATCAAGAGCCCCTGCATTAATAATTTTTATTTATTATTTATTTATTTATTTATTTATTATTTCTTCTTTTAATCAATATCATCGAAGTCTGAACCCTCGTCCAGAGCTTCTTCTCCCTCAGCATCTGCTGCTGCTGCTGCTGCTGCTGCTGCTGCTGCTGCAGCTGCAGCTGCTGCATCTGCTGCAACAGCTGCTGCTTCTGCAGGAGCTGCTGCTTCTGTAATTTTTGCTGCATTTATTGTTGTTGCTGGTATTCCCGTTGCTGCTGTTCCCGTCCCTGCTGCTGTTGTTGCTGCTGCTGCTCCGGTTCCTGTTGCTGCTGCTGTTGGTGTTGTTGCTGTTGGTGTTGTTGCTGCTGTTGCTGTTGCTGTTGCTGTTGGTGTTGCTGTTGCTGCTGGGCCTAGCAATCTTTGACAGACTGTATCTAAGCTGTATCTTCCTTCATCGCTAAGTGCATTATCTCCTAAAGAAGCTCTGATCTCTCTGAGCATAAGACAAGAAGCTGTTTGATTTTCAGTGTTATGTTTAACGCTAAGCCCTGCTGCATTGCCGAATTCTTTAGGTATATATTTTTTATCAAGATATCTTGATAAACCCGATCCGTCTGCAATTGCTGCGATCTTATTAGAAGATAAACCCATTATACGAGAAGCAAGACTAGGGATAAAAGGTGCTAAGTATGCGGGGACATTAACAATAACAAGCATTTCAATATGAGGTAAATATCTTCTTAAAAATATTCTTAATATCGGGTCGTACTCTCTTATGAAGCGAGTTATACGCGATATAACTTCAGCAAAACGAAATGAAAATAAATGCTGCAGCCCTAACATTTTCTTTACTATGTTTGCATCAACAACTCGCATGTGCTGCTGAACATTGTAATGCTGCAGCATTAAATCTAGCAAATAGAATTCAACATCCATGACTGCTTTAGCTTCTTCAACTGTTCTTAATTCGTTCAACATATCATAACAAACTATACTTCCGCTTTTAGAGAAGCCAAAATAATGTATAGTTAATTGAGGATGTACAGTTTCAAACAAACGAAGAGCATCTACACGCCTTGACTCAGGAAGAGGAGGCGGAAATATTATTGAAGTATTGCCTCTTCCTGCTGCTGCTCCTGCTGCTCCTCCTGCTGCTGCTGATCCTGGGGGTAGTGGGGGTCTTCCTGCTGCTGCTGCTGCTGGTGTTGGGGGTCTTCCTGCTGCTGCTGGTGATGTTCCTCCTGCTGCTGCTGCTGCTGCTCCTGCTCCTGCTGCTGCCTTGCCTGCGGGCTGTGCTGCTGAGGGCTTCTCTGAGGAAGTCTTTGCAGAGCGTTTAGCTGCAAAAGATGAAGAAGAAAAAATGATAAAGCAGCAAAGAATCACGGGAAGAAGAAGTAGTAAAGACCGGCGAAGAGCCGGCGCCTTCTTCTTCATGTTGCTGCGTTTAAAAGAGATCTTCTTTAATCATGCAGCAGAAAATAAAATATATTAACAATATATTTTATTTATTTCGATTTTTTCAAACAAAAATATACAAATTTAACCCTAATACACCCCCATACAGCACCTGTTGCTCTCCACGCATGCACGGCCGCAAGCCTCAGCTATTGTTTAAAACTGATAGCTGCCTATACACCGCAATAAATTCGAGTAGCCTACATGCATTTGGGTGTTTTCTGAAGAATAATAAAGAAAGAAAACGAAAAAGAAGCGAATTACAAGCATATAAAGAGAGAAAATGCATGAGAAAAGGGTAGAGCAGCACTAAATATATACTCAGCAGACAAACGCTCTCTGCTGTGTATTGTAGTCTGAGAAACAAGAAGATATATATTTTTTATTGCATTAAAACATTAAATATATATTTAAACACAAATTTAAAAAGCATAAAGACAAAACAAAACAAAATCTATACTCCGCTGCAGCAGCAATCAATACCCTCAGCCTACGATGGAAGCCCTGCGGGCCTTGCGTCTCATCTACATAAATAATATACGTTTTTTCTTCTTCTTTTACTTCTAAAGCATTATTATTGCGTTTATATCTTTATTTATTATTATTTAATTCATAAAGTACTCTTTTTAAACAAAAAAATACATATATTATAACCGTAAGCCCCTATAACAAACGCAGCAAGCAAGCCCCAGCCAGACGATCATGCAGCAGCAGCAGCAGCAGCAGCAGCAGCAGCAGCAGCAGCAGCAGCAGCGAAGAGAAGCAATAGAAGGAAATGAATTCTATTGATGTTATCTCTGTATATATTTTATATTTTGTTTATTCTTTTTCTTTTCTTTGTTTGTTTTTAATATTTGTTTGTCTATGAAGGCTTTCTTAGGGTTTATATATATACAGCAGATATATGTATATATACATATATATATGCATTAATATATTTTATATAATATTATACGTAAACTACATATTATTTTCATTATTATATATATTTTATTATATATAAATACTATATCATACTGTCTTCTATTAATAATAAATGCGTTTAAATAAGCTGCATGTTTTATATATATAAATAGATTTATCGGCTTCTTTATGTTTATACACTTATTAATAATAATAAATTATTTATTTAATTAATATAAATACTTTTATTTATTTCTATCGAAGTAGAGATGCTTAAGAAGACGCTTTGCTTGGGGCTGCATGCAGCAGCAGAGATATTTATATATTTGTTGTTTTCTGTCTTTGTTTGCCTCTGCTATTTTAAAAACATAAAAATAAACAAAAAACAAAAACTTTGCTGTCTCTGTCTCCTCTCTTTGTTTTTTTATTAACTCTGTCTACTAACAGACCTATCGCTCATAATCAAGCAATAAATAAGTAAATAAATAAATAAAATAAATAAATAAAATAAATAAAATAAATAAATAAATGCGCATATATAGATATGCATATATATATAAACTTAAATATATGTATGTACATTTATCTATGTGGATAGATAGATAGATAGATAGATAGATAGATAGATGAATAGATATAAATATATAAATATATAGATATATACATATATATATACATATATAGATATATATATATATATATGTATACATAGATCTATATATATGTCTTTATTTATCTGTCTACATATTACATGTCTATTTAGCTATATATCTGGATATATATATATATATAGGTGTTTATATATTTATATTTATTTATATATTTATATTTATATACTTATTTATATATATACAGACAGCACGAAGGGGATGTATAAAGTAGGCGGCGGTGTTTATTTGTGTTTAACAATTTAAATTAAAATTAATAATATTTTATGTTTATCTATTTTAATTAATTAATTAATTAATTAATTTTATTTATTTTCTTCTGCATGCACAACTGACCCAAATGCGAGTCTATGCAAAAACAAACAAATACCGTGCAGCAAGCACCCTTGTTGCTGCTGCAGTTGCTGCTGCTGTCATTGCTGCAGCAGCTGCTGCAGTTGCTGCTGCAGTTGGTGCTGCAGTTGCTGCTGCAGTCGTTGCTGCAGCTGCTGCAACAGCTGCTGCTGTAGTTGGTGCTGCAGTTGGTGGTGCATTTGTTGCTGCAGTTGTTGCTGCAGTTGTTACTGCAGTTGCTGCTGCAGTTGCTGCTGCAGCAGCTGCTGCAGCAGCAAACCTTCATGAGGGCAAACTCGGGTGTCTCCCCTAAAGGAGAGCTTCAAATAGAAATAGACGTAGACAAACGTTCATTAGATTTATAATAAACAAAAAAATCTGCTGCTGCACTGCATGCAGAGAAGCAGCAGCAGAAAGCTGCTGCTGCAGCCTTTGGGGCTCGCCGATCCTTCTTTGCTTCTTTTTTTATTTCTTTAAATTTGTTTGTTCGTTTAAACAGCAACAGCAGAGCCCAGCAGCAGAAAGGATTTAATAAATAATAACAATTAAACCCTTCATAAGTCTTGTGCACGAACAGCTGAGCTCAGCATACACCCGAAATACTATAAAATAATATAATAACATCCCTGCACTTTCTTGCTGCTGCTGCTGCTGCTGTCGCTGCGGCCGTTGCTGTTGTTCCTGCTATTATTGATGCTGCTATCGCTGCTGCTGCTGTCGCTGCTGTCGCTGGTGCTGTCGCTGATGCTGCTGCTGTCGCTGGTGCTGCTGGTGTTGTCGCTGCTGCTGGTGTTGTCGCTGCTGTCGCTGCTGCTGCTGCTGTCTCTGTTGCTGCTGCTGTCTCTGCTGCTGCTGCTGCTGCTGCTGCTGCTGCTCTTGCTCTTCTTCACTGGAAATGAGACGGTCAGGAGAGCTGAAGGAGACAGCTGCTTCTGTCTCTTCAGGAGATAAGTAAAGGGCTTCTCCCTCTTCCTGCTGCTGCTGCTGCTGCTGCTGGTCCTGCTGCTCCTCCTCTTCCTCCTGCTGCAGCTCCTCCTCATCCGTCTGCTGCAGCAGCAGCTGCTGCTGCTGCTGCTCTTCCTCCTCCAGCTGCTGCTGCAGGGGGAGAGGGCCCCCACAGTAAGGAGGAGCCAGAGAGGAGACAGCGCCGGGTGCTGCTGCTGCTGCTGCTGCTGTTGCTGCTGCTGCTGCTGCTGCTGCTTCAGCAGATCGCAAGGGAACGACTTTAATGTGTCGCGAGCGCTGCAGCAGCAGCAAAAATAATAAATAAAAAACAGACAAGAAAAAATATATATATATATTTATTTATTTGTTCATACAACAGCAATTAATAAACAAATTATTTATTTATCGTTTAAATAAATATGTTTAAACAAAACAGATAGAACAAAAAATAAAAATAAAAAAAACGATAAATAAAAAAGAATAAAAAAATAAACAGACAAAATAAAAATAAACAAATTAATAAAA